ATAAAGATCAACACACTGGTTTTAAAAAATGTAGACTCGTCTAGCTTTTCAACATCGTGGCTGCGTATTCTAAAACAGTGCCAGCTAGTTTCAGCATGCCGTAGCCTATATGCAGACTTCGGATGACTAATGTGGGCGCTCCAATTTAAATAATGTGAAAAATAAAAACTACGTTGTGGATGAAAAATGCCCCACAAACGAAGCATTTACTGCCTTACCCAGCACCCGCCTACGTGTCTTCCCACTCTTCATTTGCCTTTTCTTACACTTACTTTCCAAGTTCTTTTTCAGGGTCCATATTAACTGCCATTTTTCCCTAGGAATTTCTCCACTTCTTCCCGTCAGATTTGACTTTCTGTTTCCTTAACAACCAAGACGCTCCTGTTTCTGTGTGGGCAAGGCCTTTCCAGGTCTTCTTCAAACGCCTGTGATCCACGCACGCTTCACTCCACGAGTGGAGTTCCCCGGACGCCTGTCAGGCTCTCCCAGGAGCTGGCCCTGCGCCGCACGCGTGACGGCCGTGTGTGCTCGTAGCCGGGCCTGCCTCTTCCCAGTTCCCAGGGTGATTCTTTACCACGACATTCTTAGGGCACCCCGTCTATTCAGGGCCCCCTGAAGCTTGCAGGAGGAAGTCAGGTCCCTGAGCTGCAGCCCAGGTCCTTCTCAGCCTGGCCTCTGCACACCTGTCTCTCCTTGCCTGCGCGTGACTCTTCACGATGACACAGTCATACAAGGTTCCGTGAACACGTCTAACTCGACGCGTGTGGGTCACAGCCTAGACAGCCCTTCCTTTCCCTTTTTAACCAATACCACTTCTCCAGGATGGCTCTGCTTTCTGCTTCCCTTTATTATGATGTAACTGACAATTAAAATGTTATGTACTTAAGATGCTCAGCTTGATTCGATGCACTGAGCGATGACCCCACACTCGAGTTCATCAGCACAGCACTGCCTCGCTCAGCCGCCATCTTTACGTGGTGTGGTGAGAGCACTGTTGTAGCAAGGGTGGAGCGTACACTCGGTACTACGACGGCACCCAGTCTCCTACCCTACAAGGGTGGAGTGCACGCTCAGCATGGCCACGGCACCCAGTCTCCTACCCTACAAGGGTGGAGCATACACTACACTCGGCACTGCCACGGCACCCAGTCCCATACCCTACAAGGGTGGAGCGCATGCTCGGCACTGCCACGGCACCCAGCCTCGTACCCTACAAGGGTGGAGCGCACGCTCAGCACCGCCACGGCACCGTCTCGTACCTAGAGCTCCAGCACTATTCGTCCTGCACGGAGTAGGCTCTGACCAATGTCCCCCCAGTTCCCGGCCCAGCCCCTGCACACTGCCGCGTGATCCAGCACTCCCACTCCTGGGTGACTACCCAAAGGAAGGAAAGACAGCTGCACTCCCACGTTCACTTTTCACAAGAGCCAAGACACAGAACAAGCTACGTGTCTACCGATGATGAGTGGTGGAGAAATGTGGTCACACGGAGCCTGGGCAAGATGGCAGATCCTGCTGTCTGACAGCTCAGATGGACCTGGGACATGCCGAGTGAAATAAGCCCAACACCGAGACAACACACGCGCTCTCACCCGAGTGAGGACAGGCGTCCATGTGTCAGTCACCTCTGCTACCCCCACCTCCACAAACACACCCACCCATCCTGCGTCCGGCTGAGAATGGGGAGGGGGAAGGGGTGCTCTTTGGTCAGTGTTCCACCCCGTGTCCAGCTTCCCCGAGTTCAGCTATGTCAGCGCTCACACTGGAAACTAAATTTTTATCACGACTGGGTCAAGGCCGAGGTTATGCGGAGCTGGGGTGCCCTCTACTGCTCTGCAGAACAGTGACTGTCCTGCTGA